TGCGTAATTCTATGAGTGTGTAATTTTATTAAACCATGTATTACGTACTATATTTTACCTACGACCACTACCGTAAATACTTAAAAACACACCGTCTGCGAACAGTGTAAGATTCCTATTTTACATACGGTAAAAAAATCGCACAGCTTGATAAAAAAATCGTACAGTTTTCCTAGCAACCGCCTAGCAACGTTCAATACAAACAGTATTGTATTAACCGTTGCTAGGCGGTTGCTAGGAAAACTGTGAGATTTTTTTACCGTACGTAATAGGAATCTTACATTGATCGCAGACGGTGTGTTTTTAAGTATTTACAGTACCTAGTGGTCCTAGGTAAAATAATAAAAATATTTGTTCATGATTTTACACAACAGTGGTTAAAAATAAAACTTCCTTCACTAATGTACTGTCAAAATTTTATGACATTTGGACGAATAGAACCGGATCTGAAGTGACAGTATGTTTGTGTCATCGATACAAAAATTAGCATCGAACAAAAAGCTAATAATAAGGTTTGGTTTAAACTTGGTAAAGCTTTTACCGAAACTTTTCAATTGAAGAACCAAGTTTGTGGTGCTGATTGTTTATCCTGTGGCGTGCATTAGTGGCATACGCATAGCGCAGAAGGAAGTTGGCATTTGTTGGACGATAATACGCCATCTCATCGATCGAAACTTGTGACCGATTAATTTACTAAAGGTCGCATTTTAATTGACAATCAATTCCCTTATTCGCCTGATTTGGCACCGTGCGACTTTTACCTTTTCGGGAAAATGGATTTGCCGATGAAAGAAAAGCGTTTTGTGGGCATAGAAGCCATTCAAAAGGTTTGTACCGACATCGTGAAGGACATTTCAGCCGACGATCTAAAACAGTGATTGGACATGCTTTTAGACTGTGCAAATCCACAGACCACCTAGACTGGCTTATAGAGCGACTTTGGTGAAAACACTTTGGAGCCTGATTTGGAGCCCAGCGCTCAGTCGTGTCCTAGCATTTGACGTGTACGCATCGCTGTGATTTCGATAATTAGACGTTTTATCATGGGCAAGTGTATTGTAAAACATTGTATAAATAGAAGTGATCGAGTTGGTGAAGAGAGGCGAAAAGTTTCCTTCTTTAGGTAAGTAAAAAAAAAAGGAATATATAAAAGGTAAATATGTACGCCATTTTTCGGTTAACGTCACAAGTTTCCAGGGTTAGCTTTATAATTTTGTTCGCCCACATAGTGTAGTGATTAACGTGATATTGTTATTATAAAATAATGAATGAATTACATACCTACTGTAAAATATTTTTAGAAATTATTTACTTTATGTGTCTTAAATTTGTATGAAATTTTACCAATTCCCGTCATTTCGAGATAGCTGAAAATTAATAAAATATTTTTTTCAATTAAAAAAATCGCAAACAAAACTAATTTCAGATTCAGTATTCATACAGTCAATTAATGTTTATTAAAGATCGTGGTTGTTTGACGTATCCATCTCGAGATGTCGTAGTAATATGCTAAGAAACAGAAAAATTAATAAAATTTAAAATAATGAAAGCAGAACACCTAGGCTACAGAAAAATAAAATTGTTTATCATGTATTAAAAAACTTTCTGAATGTGAACATATTTGAAAATTTGCATGAACATCAATTTGATAATTTGCTTAACAATTGTAATCATTTAATAGAACTTGTAAGGGCTGAATGTGAAAAGTATATCGATGTACGAATAAATCATGAAGTCAAATTATTTAATTCGGTGAAATCTACGAAAAGACAAATATTAAATAAATTAATATTATTTAGAGGATAATAAATATATTTAAATTATTTTGTAGTTTTATTTAATATGACACTAAAATATACTATTTTCTGAATTACAAACTTAAAATTGAATATTTGTCATAAGATGCAATATAATGTTTAATATGTAATAAAAATATTACTTAATCCGGATCTGCTTAAAGATGCGCGCGATCAGATTGCCTTCCACACTCCACTTCCCCGGATTTTGCATTCACTGGTACCCGTGCATTGGAATTAGATACAGCCAGTCTAGGTGGTCTGTGGTGCAAATCGGTTTATTGGGTGGAAAGGGACTATTTTGAATAAAAAAAAAAAACTGTTTAAATAAATTTTATTATATGACAGCTATAAAACAGATCTGCTTGAGTAACTTGAAGAAGTAAGGATTTAAAATATGTATATTTAATTACACTGTTTTAAGTGTAATACCTACTATGTTCCTTTTTAAACATTTATTAGATACAAATAAAGATGTCCAGATAGAGTTATCAGTACCTACCTAAGATCAAAAAGATAGACAAACGAATATAGACAGTAATTAATTTACAATAAATATATATATTTTATTTCCAAATATAACTCTGACTCTGTCTTTTGGCCTCGGGCGCTAAACTAGTGATATTTCTACATTTCCAAATACAGTTAACAATTTCATAAATAATTCATAAATTCAAATGACCATATTAACCTCCGATAAGGAATAACAATATAAATTAGATTAGATTGTAGAAATCACAGGTTTCCAGGCATGGTCACTTAATTTATTTCTCTTTCAATATTCACCGTTGGGTTACGTGTAAACTGAGTATAAATGATTAATTTCGTTGCTCAAAAGTCTATAAAATCCTGTGGTGGAATCGTACACTTGTCAGATTGGTTAGGTTGAAGTCGTATAAGTGATGGCAACAAGAATTTAAATAAAATTGAGATGATTACGAGTAATGACCAAAGTTGGTGCTCTAGTAGACACTTGTATAGCTGCCCCAAGACAAACATATTATAGCCTACAGGTACTGTTTATTGCTTTTACCATTTATTTAGAGATATTTTAATCTGAAATGTTTATCAATCATTTGTCAACAATTCAAAAGGATTTGGTATTCATTCCGATAAACAATTTTTTCTTTAATTTTATAAGACTTATTATAGTTAGTTGATCAAATCAAACAATGGACGTCAGGGCAATTTTTAAAACTATTGCAGTAAATGTTGTTTAAGCAATGTATAAAGTGTTTCGAAATTAATTGGTAACAAAATAACAAATATTTTTTAACGGAATACCCTAAACACTGTTTCACTTTTTATGGACATACATATTTTAGTACGAAATAATTACCTGCAAAGCGATTATTCTGGTATAACCAAGTTTGATTTTAGTCATAGGCATCCGGTTCTAAAAATAAAAGAAAAGTTGTGGCATTTGAAAAAAATTATATTAGCCATTTTTTTTAATTAAAAGTTGGTAATATAATTTAGCATCCCTAAAAATCTGAATAAACTGTCTTGAAAAGTGCTCAAATTATGAAAGTTAGGAAAGCTTTTCTCTTTGCTTTTTGTTTTACTTATATTAAGCTATCGAAATCTGGAGAAAACTATTTTGATCCAGCCGTTAAAAAAAGATTAATGTAGAAAAATATGTGCTCCCTATTTATATATAGGTAAATATTTTCTCATTTATTTAAATTGCATCAGGTGGCATCATTTGGCAAAATGGATCACATGGCAAAATAAGAAGCAGTATTATAAATAAATAAATATCTCAATTTCTAGGGCATTATTAAGAAAAAAGTTTACAGGGATGGATTACCTATTAAAGGGGATTTATAAAACAATTTGGCACATGAGGCGAAATTACTAAGCAAGAAATAATAAAGAAGGAAAATAATAGAGTTGAAACATACACAAAAAAAGAAGTTGGTTAACGGAAATAGAAAGAATTATTTAATTGTTTAATGTTATATTTTGTTTATCCTTCCTATATATTTTTTGTTATGAATATTTTCAATGAATGAGAAAATCCTACGTTGAATTTTTATTACCAACTAGATAAATAAACTTGCTCAAGAATTGAATCGCCTCAGAAAAAATTTTAAAAAAATGGAAAAGCTTATCTAACTTCGTTTTTAACTTAACGCTCGCGCAAAAGTAAAAAAAAAACTAAATGTTTATGTACTCATATCCTGAGTACTTTTAACGATATTTGATTCCAATTAAGTAGAAAGATATTTCCTGAGGACACTAAATTGGAATATAATAACTTTTTGATATATTTTTATGAATAAATTCAGATTTAATTATACTTATTAGAATAATCGCTTTGTAATTTCCTTTCAGAAATATTACTGATTGGGAGCAAACCTATCAAATTTTATTTATTTTATTGTAATATTAAATACCCTGTATTTTAATTTAGAGGTTTTTGCTTTAGTCTAACTAATTACGGTCTTTTTCACAAAAGGTATAAAAAATTTTAGAATGAGATTACTATATATCTACTTCCATTTTTATCACAATCACTGGAAAATATTTTAGATAAAGATATTTTAGATAGACAGAAAGATTTACACTGGATGTTAATTCATCTGAAAATTTGTGCATATGAAATCGTAATCGAACAAAATAACAGATTAAATAAATATATTATCAATTGTTCTTATGAATTCATAAGAATTTCGACCAGTGATCAAAATAGTTCGCTTTCATCGGACAGTCATTATGGTTTCAAAGGTATGAATAATATCGCAGAATTGGTCTATTTTAATGGAGTAAGAAACTAACACTGTCGTATTATGAATTCAAATCGGTTGGGTGGATCCATTCATACTATTTATTTGTTGAGAATTCGTATGACTTCGTTCGAACAAGTTCTCTCATACGAATTCGCATTTAGAATAAATAACTATCGCTTAGTACGAAAATTTGATATGCCGTGTGCAACGAAATTCAAATCTTCATTTCATCGTCGTCAATTAAAAAAAAATGGAGTTCCTAATTGGCCATATGCCGTAGAGTATACGTTCGTAATTCGTGGTAGAAAGACATAATGAATATTATTACTTATCCGTTGCTAAATTTTTTAAAATAAAAACCACTATGGAAGTTATTGTTTTTATTCAATTTGATAAAATATTTCGTATGGATATAAGTTTGTTAAAAAGATAATATGGAAGCACACAATAAATTTCGTACATCCTTTTGCAGATGTCGTCCAGGTTGGAGAGGGGATTTTTGCGATCAATGCGAGCCATATCCTGGATGTAAGCATGGATACTGTAATGGTTCTTCGTGGCAATGCATTTGTGACACTAACTGGGGAGGAATCTTATGCGATCAAGGTGAGCTACTGCTTTCGCAAATTTTATGGCTTCAATTTGTTATTTCACTAGTTAGTAATATAAATAATTATTTCGAATCCAATAAGATCCAATAAGATTTTGTATGTTTGAATATCAAACATACAAAATCTTATAATACATAACAACATGTCTAAAAAGAATGCCTTTTTTAAGTACATATAGGTACCTAATCACATTTGTTCATATACATTTGTTCAAAATGTACTTACACAAGGTCAATCTAATTGAAAGCTGAGAAAATAGGTATAAAAGGCATTATCTGCAGATACCTATATTTTGTTGTCTATTTCAAATATCATTAATTAATCAATATATTTTTAAAATATAGAGATAATTAAATGATATTAGAACAAATTTTGCTTTAAATTGTGCTTATTTACATTGCATACAACAGCATTTGTCCGAAGCAACACCTTGCAAACGCTATGTTAAAAATTGAGCTATTTTTAAAGTTGTGTTAATCTTTACTTATGACAATGTTTAGTTATTACGGTATTGATTAACTTTCGCACATACGACGAACATTATATTCTCCAACAGATTTTATTTTTCTTACGAAAAAGAGCAAATATTACAAGTAAATATCAATTCTTACTGATTTTTAAAGCCAGCGTTTCTATTGAATTATTAAATGTTAAAAAATGGCAGATTAAAATTGATGATAGTGAAGTTTAATAAAGATTGTAACATCTCGGAAAATTTCATCTTTTATTGCAACATATAATGCGTTACAGTTAAGTTTTAAACCATTTTGGAACTGTAAGCTCAAATCGATGAGAAGTGATGGCGCGATATTACTATTAACAATTACCCAATAGAACACACCCCGTTAAAACCATGAATACACCAGAAGTTAACCTAAATAAGTGTTATTGCCCCTTTGGGATGGGCTGTGAACGTTACTCCATTAAATTATTTGTAAGTGGCAACCCCCTGATCAATAAATTTTACATCAGACTGATAGGAGTATTTATAACCTCTGCGGTACCCTCGACACATTAACACACATGTTCAAGTACACAGCCTAAAAAACGCGTTAAAGGGTTAGTTAATCATTTTCTCGTAACCCACATTCAACAGTATTTACTAGGATTGCGTTTTTAATCGGAAGGGTGTGCAAACCGCCTGATCAAGTGCGGCATTGTTGGGGCGCACTTGCCGTGGAACCTCATATACATGTTTAATTCCCACCAAAATAGACCCTCTCGAGTTATTGTGCTCTAGTTTTTTTGTATATGCTGATGAATGACCGATGGGTCCCTTTAGGTCTGTCCTCCTAGTTTTTTATGTTTGCAACAGTTGCGTAAGTGCGTGCGTGCGTGCGTGCGGGCGCTTTTCTATCACTGCATCTGCTACTCTCTCACTAAATTTTTATGGTTTTAATGCAAATGGGAACGATTATGTACCGTTATGATCCTATCCGTCGTCTGTGACATCTTAATGGTGCTTAATACGTATATACATATATTCTTGAATCGAGAGTTTATTAATGAAAATTAATAGATTTAGATTTTCTGTTTACTCAAAACGTTATGAATTTTGAACAAAATATATTCAATTTCTTTTTGATAAATGGATCATAATATATTTATTCCACCAAACTCAGTGCAATTGAGTTTTTGATCTAGTCAACCATGAATATGACTATTTTTTTATTTGAAACAAAGAAAGCGCTAAATAACACTATAAAATTATTTTCTCAATATTATATCTACATGTCATAACCAAAATGCTTCTCCAAATTTTAATGGTAGATTCTAAAAATTAATAAAAACAAGTGTTAGTGTTACAGGGTGTAACCTAAGTACATTCAAATATTTAAGATGGTTATTCCTGAGTTATTTGTAAGAAAAAAAAATATATAAACCTTTGTCCAGAAATGAGAAATCAAAATTTGGTATTAATTTTTGTGCAGCACTTAGAGGGCGCTACGTATGCTATCAGTATTAATTTTAATTTGCTATAAATTTTTTGACAGAAAACTTCTGCGATTTTTTATGAATAAACAATATTCCTACATCATTTTTAAGTAAAAAATGCACACTTCCTTAACAACGCTAGAAGCCACAGTATTCGAGAAATTTGCAAATTTCTGCAAAGATGCAATTTTGCCGAGTCCGTTAGGCGTTAAATGAAGTTGAGAATTTTATGTTCGAAAGTAGGCTATGGATTATTTAGTGAGGAGGGCAGAAGCTTGTATTAATGTCGGGGGTAGCCACTTTCAGCAGCTGTTGTACTAATGATTTTGTTTTATTTTTCAACACCCTGTATCTCAGAAACGAAGCATATCCGCACAAAGGTTTATATAAACTTTTTTTCCTAGAATAAAACGTACTTAGGTTATTATCCCTTTTATCCCTTATCCCTTTTTGTATCCTCCATTTGCTTTTTATTCACTTATCCACAGGATCATTTTGAATGAACACAAATACGTTTGTTAAAAATAATTAAAGATACACAAAAATGAAGATCATTATACAAACGTATATTTAATAGTAATACTTACCTGGATACTCAAATCCGTTATATTTCAACTGCTGATATTTATAAAAGATAACAAATTTATCTATAACTCACATTTTATTATAATAAGCTACCGCATTGAACTATCATAGTTTATTTATAAAGATGACCGTTTTGTACTGACTACTCCATCTATTAATTTCTTTTAATTTGCCGTTTCGTCAATTCATTCACGTCCTGTATGTTCTGAGATATTAAGTTTTTTTTTGAAAAACTTTTATTTCTTTAAGCCTGTAAATATTTGTTTTATAATTTATAATTTCCCACCAAACTCAAAGTAACGAACGGCACTGTTTGGCGCTTCTTGGAATTCCCAAAAATACAGAGTCCAGAGTCGATCTTTTTGAAGGTCTAGGCATAAACATTTTTGCCATGTGATGTGTATTTTCCAATGATATAACCCAGTTATTTCTACAAATATGAGATATACTGTTTTATTATGAAGGTGTATTAAAATGAAGGATCACTAATATTAACCAATACTTTAATTGATAGTTGCTCAATTTGCAAGTTACAAAGTATTCCTAAGTTACTAAGTTTTTCGAAAATACTTATCACAAACATACAAATATTTCAAAGTACTTTTTGTGTAGATTAAAAAAACTCCACTGGTAGGGGTATTAATGAAATAGCGTCATTAGGAACGTCAGAATTTCGATGCCACTAAATATTTTGGTACATATTAGGTATTACCAATAAAATGTAGTCATTAAAACTCCAGAAAATTCAATGGCGTAGATATTTGCTCCTGTCATTGTAAATGTAAAATTTCTATGCCAGTGTTTTCTTATTCTTAACGATTACGTTATATTCAAAATTATATTTTTAACAAAAAAATTCTGTATGTGTTTCGAGATATTTACGTATTTCTGATTTTTTTTTAACACCTTGCAACTTGCAAATGGAGCAATTATGGACTAAGGTATATTTGACCCAATTATCATATTTTGGTTACAAGATTATGAAGGTATCTATAAATAAGTCATATTTATTTTATACTTTATAGAAATTACATTGACGTTATTTTTATGGCAGGTGGTCACAAATATTTATATATTTTTTTTCCACTTAGATGATATATTTTATGTAACAATTTACAGTGACTGATTTGAAATAATAAAAAACATTAAATTTTATAGCCTATGTAAAAAGATTCTCAACCATTTCTATAAAAAACAAAAAAAAACTTCCTATTGAGGCATGCAACCAAATAAAGCAATAGAAACTAATCCCCCAGGGGAGAGTACACTCTTTTACTAGACCATGGCATAGCCATCAACGATTCCCATTAAAAAAAAAGAAGTTTGCTTCATATATTTTAACTACAATATCCACTAAAAACTAATGTCACCAATCAATTTTCCTTTGACACTGCGGACATTTTTTACTTTAATTTCAACTTTTTGTCGATTTAGTTTAGCGTTGGAAACCAGGAAGATAATATTTCTGTTCTTGAAGTACCTACTCTGAATTCCCATCCAAACTGCTACAAAAAGTAGAATGCTAACTATAATTATTTGAAGTAATATCAGTGATAACTAAAGGTAATTTATGCAAATATGTTGTATTAAGTCATGCCATAAACATTCCTTGGCCGTTCTATATGTGCACATATTACTTACAAGTAACGGGCTGAAATTTTAAATTTACACAAAAAATTAAAATGTTCTAACCAGCCGCTTTACGGTTAATTGAGTTCTACCTCTCGTCGACAGCTTCCTTTCCCATCAATAAAAAATAATACATCCTTTGTTACCTTTACAAACGTAAGTCCGTTTCCTCCTGCTTATTTAAAACAAGCGGATTTTAATGCGCATACACAAGAGCGGCTATAAACCAATTTAAGCCGCTTACTTATAAAAATGTAAAGCCGTTAAAGAGCGGCAACAGACTCCGGACATATGCATGATCTCGACTGGTGAAACGTTTTAAAACACCGTGGGATTCTGACACAGGTGCTAGCCAATGCAGGCTAAAGGCGCCCATGCACTTCGTTCATCCTCGACAGTTTTATCCAACGGATAAAATTGTTTATTTCGAAGGATGAAGCGAGGATATATGCACACGTCTATGTGCGCTTGGGTCTGGGTTAGTAACGAAATCGTCATATTTAAAAAGCGATAGGGTCATACCACTGACTTCTGCTAGGAGTGACGTACCTACAAGTTATACTTCAATGAAATTGCTTGTGTGCAGGAAGGACATGATTCTGTGCATTTAATTTAAATGCGGGCATTTCACATGATCCTATATAAATTAAACAGTGCGTTTCACAAATTTAAAAAAAAAATGTTACTAATTTTAAATAACATACATTCGAATGATTCTAAAAAAAAATAAATAAAACGGCATACAATATAACCAATACGCTAATTTATACAGGGTGTTTCAGTCATAATGTCATTAATTTTAAGGAAAGATAGGGAAAAAAAGTAGAATACGAATACGCGCTTAAA